TCATTACATTCATTCTCTTCAGAATTGTAGATGGATATTCCTTTTCGAATTTTGTTCATTTTTTCGTAGAATGTGTGGAATCAAAGATCATTCAATGTACGTAAACGAAAAATTGTCTAAAGAGAATTTCACTAAAGTTCATAAAGGTATATGCACAACATTAAAACAAAATATTTGTTCTCATTTATTCTAGATTAAATCGCTGATTAACATCAAAGTCTCTAAAGATATGTTTTTATGGGACTACAATAAAGAAGAACTCTGTGGTATAAAGTATCGTCGTACGGTTGTTAATGTTGTTTTCTCTTTTCCCTAAGTTTTCAACTGATTTTTATTACCACATGACATGTAACTATTCATTGGTTTTTCAAAACAAACAAATTTTACAATGAGTAATTTTTATGTTGTATATCATTTGGTAAAATAAGTTTGCAAAATTATAAATGTTCATATTGTTTTATTGGATTTTTTTAAGAAATTGAAATGATTATATCATATGCAAATATTCGTTTTGCTAAACAATTAAAACTAAAATTTTTAGGTCTAAGAAGAGTTTTAACAAGTGTAGGCAAAATTTCTAAACTCAATTTATTGCTCTTCTTAAAATTTAGGAACCCTTTATGACGTCATTTTANGCCACATCTCCGTACCGGGGACGTTTCGGAGACAGGGACACGCCTAAAACGGCTTGGAGACGTTTTGGGAGCGTTTCATGTTAACCATGGACGGCAACTCGATTTTTTCAAAAGAAAAAATATAAAGTAAAGAAAAAAGTCTAATAAACTCACTTCTTTATGTTCATTATACAAAGAAATCTAAGATTTTTTTTAGTTAAGACATTAAACTATATTTTTTCTTCTTATGATTTGATTTATATGATACTTATTTTCTATATGTATATTTTTGCTTATACCATATTGATGTATCTACTCCCTTAAATTTTTGATTTTGACATTTTCCATCTCCGTTTCAGTCCCCGTTTCTATCCCCGTATCCGTTTCGGTGCAACTTAATTTTATACAAAATCAATAAAACTATTTCAGTATGTCTTTGGTCGGTACCAAGAACCAATAGCTCAACAAAA